GTACAGACAGCTGAAAAAAAGAAAGAAAGAAAGAGAAAAAGAAAGAAAGAAAGAAAAAAAATAAAGAAGGAAAGAAAGAAGGAAAGAAAGAAAGAAAGAAAGAAAGAAAGAAAGAAAGAAAGAAAGAAAGAATATGAATAATAGTTTCAATGCAGTAAAAAGCTTCCTTTATGCTATGTACATTAAAATCTGGCTCAAGGATTTAAATAAGTGCAGCATATGCAGGTGGTTGTTACTACACAAGTTTCATTTTCTCCATTCTGTATATCCAACTAGAAGGTCATTTCTTTGCATCTGGACAAATATTTTACCATTATTAATATTTTATTTACACTTGAAAAGCAAGCCAGGACAACCCATTTTTTCTGATAAAAGCTCAAACTAATCCATGTCATTTTTCAAAATCTAAACACAAGTATTGCCTTGGCCACATTATGAAGTGGTCAATCATTAAGGTGATTGTGTCTTTTTTTGCTCTTACAATGGAGTCTCAAAAAAAGATGCTTTTATCCAAACTTTGTGCAGTTTCTTTCAAATGGATAATATTCTGGTAACACATTTGGGAAGTGGGTAGAGGGTAAAAAGGAGACAATTTTAAACATATTTATATTTTAATATGCAAAGACCAAAGAAAAGAAAATAATCATGGCAAGCAGTTTATTTACAGAAAACTGTACAAAAGCAAATTAAATTATGTAAAATATTTCATAAATAGAAGTGGACTAGCGTTTAATACATTTTGCTTGTTTAGCATAGCTGCGTGCATAGTGGCTTATAATAAACAATACTAAATTGTTCTTTTGCTTCACTATCAACATCCAAGTTGCAGAACAATAGTCAATGATTAATATTACACACAGATCGTACCACATTGTAGTCAAGTGTATTCAGTTCTTTTAAGGAAAGTTACAGATAATGAAAAGAATCCCAGCTTGAAGTTTAAAGAAAACAAAAAAAAGTTGATTTCTCCTAATAGCAACTCAAACCGATGTGGCTCTTTTTTGTTTTTGCTATTGATCTGCTTGGGCTTTTCATAGAGAAAATAAAATGGAAAAAACTAAATTATCTTTCTAGACTATGTTCCCTTCTCTGCTCTAAAAAATCCTTCTCATCCTTTTTGTGAAAAGTAGGCAACAAGCCAACCAGTCCAGAATCATACTTAACATAATTAAATGCAGTTCTGAAGGAGCAACAGACAGTAAGATTAAGGTTACAGACTTTATATATTTATATTTACTTATTTACACACATATAAAGTAGTTAAGCTATTATGCATAAATCTAGAAATGTCATGTAAAAAGGCATGCACAGTTCATCTAAAATTCTAATGTGGTATTCATATGAACATTATACAAACAAGATGAAAGAGCAGTAAAACACAAATTATGAAAAATAATAATAGATAATTAAAGAAAATGATTTGCTTACTTGACTTTGGACTTGTTGACCCATCATTATGTACAGTTAGAACACAAGTCCAAGTGTAAAACATGTATTCAAAAGATGCTCCTCCATACCAATCATGCAAACCCCTCAGAGAAAAAACTAATTGTTTAAATTGGTCCATTATTAGGAAAATATTTTTTTTACATTGGACATGATGTAGAAACTGTTAGAAAATAAATGTTATGGAATATAGAGAATTGGTAAAGTAGGGATGAGCTCAGTACCCTTTATTTTCCAAATCTGACCACCATCTTACAATGATAACAGGTGTATAAAAGGCACATTGCAGAATTTGCATTCACTTTTTTTTCTATTTTTAAGTGATCAACATGTTATAGTATGAGGGTTACTTTATTGGTTGTTTCGACTAGAAATGATGTGTACATACAAAGAGATTGTATTTTTTAAATTCAATTTAGCTCTAACAAAATGTAATTGCATAAAATGATGGTGTATCATAGAAGGTTGTTTTTTTCTAATGGAATAAAAATTGCTGAATGACTTAAAGTTATATTCATCTATGTTTTTAATTTTTGCCATTTTCTTCTATTACAACTGTATTTTTACTAAGCAAATAAAATATACTGGTAAAAAAAAAACTAGGTTTGCGTACAGTATGCTTAAATAATTGACTATGCAGACTGGAGATGCATGCAGTAAAACTCCATAGGTATTATACAAAAGCATTTGATGAGTTTTTGTTTTCAACAAGTACTTACAAATTATACAATGTTTCATAACTTTCATAATAGTGATGTCAAGTTTTGGATCCGCTTTTACTATGCCTATCATATAGTTATGTGCATTTATGTTCATGTAGGTATGTTCATGTTTTTTTAACTACCATGCACAAAACAAATGAAAAGAAAATGGCTAAAAGGGCCCCCAAAGAGAAAAAAAATCTGTACACTTAAAATTTTACAGTTAATTATTAAATGAAGCACTGGATTAAATTTAGTTATAAAAATACTTATTTAAACACAATTAAATTATATCTGAAGGCAAAACATTTTTTGGTAGTAAGCAAGGATTAGAACCTCTGCTGCGTTTTATTTTTTACCATCAATGTCTCATTAGGGAGACTTCCATTTACTTCCTGCACTAAAGACTCAACAGAAAGTTAGAAATTGCACCCATTACAAAATGTCTTTCTGCTTCTGTTCTGCTGGCAACTCAAAATGTTGGGATTACCCGCACTTTCATTGACAATTGTGATGAGGACAATTAGAGAGTGTGAATTTCGCTAATGAGTAAACAGACAGAAGTATTGACCCGACATTGGTGCTAACCCCTCACCACATTTATATGTATATAAAAAAAGTTTTGCCTTTAGTTATACTTTAAGTATGTATTTGCATAATAAATGAGTGGAAAATTATAACTACTTATAATTCAATGCTATACATTTACCTCCCTAAGTCTTAAAAGCATAATATTTATTCTGCTACCATCTAAAGTGTCACCTGAGAGACTTGTATTAAAGGAGAACTATGACATGAGTGATTTCCACTCACCTCATAGTTCTAAGCCGACCTGTGACAATGAGACTGTCACAGGTCGGCTCAGTAGATCGGGAGGTGAGAGAACACATACCGGGTTCCCTCACTTCTCGATCCTGTCACGGCTCTCTGCCGTGACAGGGGGAGGGGCTGGATTACCCTCTTCCCGCTCCGATCTGCCAGCGCTGACTGGCGGAACGGACGGGGGAGGGGGCGGGTACAGCTGGCTCTGCCTCTAGATAGGCAGAGCCAGCTGTCACTCACGCAGCTGGGCGGATCCCGTCATCTAAGTCGGGATCCGCTTCAGGTGCGGCGTCTCAGTATACCGCAAGCTGTAGCTCGCGGTATACTGAGCTTAGGGTAACGGGAGGATGCTAGTTTGTGTCCTCCCGTTACCCCAAGGAGAGCTATGGGGAAAAACACTGACCCCATAGTTCTCCTTTAATCACTGTGGATTAAAGAGTTTGGCTGCAGGCTGCTAGGTAACAGGAATAATCTGTATACCTTGGTAAATTTTAGTATGCCAGGCTGACTCCTTATCTGCCAAACAACATCAACTATTCTTCATTTTACATCCCATTCTCATAAATTATTACCTGTAAATCAAAATAGGCTCAATTCACAAAGCGAACACACCAGTTCAATTCCAATGAGATTTGAAAATGACAGTCACGTGACTGAACCAAGAGTGCCCTAGGCTGGTGTAAAAGTTTTTATGAATTCAGCCAATTGTATTTTTATTTCCCAAATGTTTCTATCATAGACGTAATGCATCTTGTTTTGTTCTGAATGGTAAATGCTAATAATCTTAAACGGTTATTATTTATTCTAATACACTTCTTTTAACTTTTTCATTTTTCAATGGCCTCCCCTCCCCGTTTACATTATTGTTCTTATTTTACACCATGGTGGCTAGTCAAATGCTCATTTTTAGTGTTGAATATATATTTTTCCATTGCATGGCTAAATCCTACTTAATTTCATCATTGCAATACAACAAATTACATTCTTTGTTTGAAAACATATAATTCATATGTGTTTGTATCTGGAACTGCTGACATATATGTTAAGTTGCACTATCATATGCACTTCTTGAAGGCCTTGTGTTATACTTATTTGCTATTTTTCATATTAGCTCTTTAATACAAAAACATACAGTATATGATCATGATTACATATTGCATGGATTGTTCTTTTGATGCTGGTTTCACTTAAAAATGACAATGACCAAAAATGTCAACAGCACTATTTATTATTGTCTTCTGTTTCTGAAACTATTATTTAAAATGTTACTTGCACTACATAAAGTAGACTATCATTCATTGGCTTATAGCCTCTATGCCTTTTTAATTGTCATCAACAGATAGAAAGGTGCTTTTTGGAAAACAGTCTTCCTAAAGTGTGAAGCAATCCAGGTAAACTCACGCAAAGAAACAAATGCAGACAGAAAAGCACAACAGCCTGAGAGAACCCTTTGGTAGTTGACGTCAGGTTCCTCTCAAAAACATTGTGCTTGTTTTCTCTATGCTCTCTTACACATGGTCCAATGCCCTATACACAGAGGACAAACTTTAAATTGTGTGTTCTGTATCATATATATGATAGTAATAGTCAATATGGCTGTCCATCTGATGAAGTTTAACACAAACAGTGAACATAATATGGAAAAAGACTTTCTTTAACAAGGTTCCATTCCAATATATCTTGATTATAGACAGCTAATGAATCATTTCACAATCAGACACAATTAGAATGCTATGTTACATGCTTTTGCCTATGAATATCATCAGTGATCTGTGTTTTGTTAATCAGTCCAGTTGCTTAAATCTCTTGCAACCATTGATTGAGTGAATAGAATAGCTGTGGAAAGGCTAATACATGCAAGTAATACCAATGGTCTCTGCATATCACAATATTGGAAAGCAGACATGATAATGAAGTGCCTGATATGGAGGCAAAAGTGGCAGGCAAAGCTTTTGTCTCTTTGGTGGCCCCCTCATATTTCTGTTATATTGTAGTAACTGTAAAGTTTTGACTTGTTTGTTTGCTTGTAGTTATATGAAAGAACCCTGCTGCTTCAAATAGCTCACAGGTAAACTTCTCTTCTAGTTAAAGTGTTGACGGGAGATGGCTTATACTCCCCTGTTTGCTTAAGGGGAATATCCTCGGGATTGGCTTCTTCACTTTTACTGAATGTGGCTGCACTGAAGGTCTCATATGATCCCAACTTTTTGTTAAGTAGATTCCTGTTGCGATCGCCCATAAGTGAAACCTCTCCATTGGCTAGTTTCTCTTGGCTGTCTCGTTCGTCAACTGGCATAAACGTGGAAAGCTTTGGCTGGTTCTTCGGCTTCCTTTCAGGTGATGTACGGACTGGCATCCAGCAGGAATCAGAGTGCCCATATTCATCACAATCTCTTGTGCATTTACCAGTCAGAGCTACATCAGGCAATGGTCTTGAGTCTGAAACAAAAGAAAGCTCTTGTTAATTGCAGAATGAAACCTATTTTTACTTAAAGAAAACTAAAAGTACAATACTGTGGCTTTATTTAGGGTGACTAAACATGTTAAACTTGTTTAGATAAACTACAGGAATAAAATCTGTAATTGCCTTTAAAACTGAAATATACATATATGTGTTATACAAAAGTTACTTTTCTATATTGTTATCTTGAGCTTTAAATTTGCAAGGACTCATAAGTCCTTGCAAATTTACTGTATTATATAGAATACTTGTATTCTATGTTCACTTCAAATACTCCCATTGGGATCAAGGGAGATGTCTACCTTTTGTTTTCTCCCTAAATCTATTTGAATGTTTAAAGGGAACACAGGCTTGACTGGAATTATTCCTTAAAATATAGTAACTCTTTCATGTGAGTATTAGTTCACATCCTTTCCATCATTTTTAGCCTCTGCAGTTAAAGCGGTTTTAAAGCTTTAAACCAAACCAATAAAAAATCAGGCAAAAAACATATGCAAATTCTATTTTTCCCTAAAAAACAAACAAACAAAAAAACGTTTCTCCTGATGATTTTGTTGGCTCTATTCTTGGTACCATTGAGGGAGAAAGAGGGGACCTAATCCTGGACCCATCATCATTTTGGAATACCACACAGCTGGAGGTAGGTGTGCCATAATGTGCAAGTATGCTCTGTATACTTGCACATTAGGGCGAGAGCTCGCCCCTACCAGTGAGAGTTTACTTACTACTTAATAATTTTTGAATGACTAATGCAGAACACATATGTAGATAAGGAAAATAAGTGGAAAGTCACAAGATCCTTTTTGTATACTCGTACTAAAGCAAGAAAATCTGTGTGACAGCCATTTTTATAAGCAGATTTTATTCATAGCAAGCACCTGGTTTCTGCTAATCTGTATTTTTGACCTTCATTTTTTTTTTTACACAAAAGCATTATGAAAGGTGCACACACCAATATTAACTAAGTGAAACAAATCTTTTGGTTGTTGTGAGATAATATACAAATAGTTTGCTCATACTTTTTATTTTTAAATTAAGAGATTTGTTTTAAATATAAAAAGCTTTGATGTACCATCCCTGTAGTTTTATATATACCAGAGGAATCATAATGCCTAGCAGAGATTTCTTTCAACAACTTGATAAAATCTATGGTGTATCATTTTGAATAGAATCTAAAAAAACTGATGTCTTGCACAGTTCATATAATGATGCAATAACAAAATTGCCATCAGTAACAGCAATATAATCAAAATTGTTCAAAATCTTGGGATATAACAAGATATTTTAAAGTATTTTACATATATATAACTTCTTATTTCAGTAAATGGAGCACTACTTGGTAGGTATACAGGAAACCAACCAACTACCTGTAGGCACTTTCCTACAGATACAATCTACTGGGTTGATTTACTTAAGGCGTAGAGCTTATTCATTTTGCAAGGGGATTTTCACTTAGCTTAGAGAATATGGTGAAATTAAAAAGTATACCTATTCACCTGCAAGGAAAACTAAAAAACAGGAATTTGCACATGATTGGATGATTGCAGTCAGTACAGCTTCCCCACATTAACTAAGCTAAGCTAAGTGAAAATTCCCTTGTACAGTGAACTAATGTAGCTCTACTCTTTTAGTAAATAACCCATTATACATAATATATTAGAAGATGTAGCTTGACTTTATGGTCAGTTATTGTTTTGCAACCCTACCCCTGAGTGCAGGATTGCATGTTTGAAGTCTACATCAGTTATTTGGATGGTTATTTGGAAAAATACCAATACTGATGTGCATGTTGTAGTTATCCTATAAACAAATTAAATGTTCCTAAATAGCAATACTTACTGATATATATTTAAAGAAGAAATATTTATGTCAGATAATAATTCTACAAAGTCTTAAAGTGAACCTGTTAGCCATGTTTAACTTTTAAATGTAAAGTCTACAAGCATGCACTTCAACTAAAACTAGTTTGGGGATTACACTTTGCTATTATTATTATTATCGAATTTTTATGAACTAAACCAGATCTTCAGAATCATACCCCACCCTCTTTTGGGGTTTTTGCCTAATAAGGCCACTGTTAATGGCCCAATCTGTATTGCATAGTCTAGCAATCTAAGATGCTAGCTTTCTATATCTGACTCTGTAGCTTAATTTTCATAGATATTTAAAATTCTTTATTTGTACTCATTTTCTATTTTCTGTTGATCAACTTCTCAACAAAATCCATCTTATTATTTTTCTCTAGCTCTCAACCTATCTTAATATTTGAGAAATCCAGTCATAAGCAAGTGATATATCTATTTTAAAAAATCATCAAATAATTTGATGTTGCAAATGATCACATATTCATGTAACTTCACTTTAGCCTCAGCGTACAGCTGTGTTTTGCTAAACAGACAACTGATGATCAGAGGATGGGTACAACACCCTTCTTGTCTGCTAGAAAGGATAGCAATTTCTTAACTAGTAGATTTAACCTGCTAGAAGGCATAGAAAAGTACTGATAAGAAGCTCAGAAGACTTTGCAAACACTGTGGGGTCTATTCACTAAGCTGCCGTAGGCAGCCGAGTGACTAACTGACCCCAAGCAAAGTGAGCCAAACGCTGTTCGGCTATTCACTTCAGGCTGGCACGGCTGATTCCATTAAATCAGCCATACATCGGGTGGCTTTGTTTGGCTTCGGGTCGGCCGAACATGCTCTGCATGTTACAGAACAGATAGAAGAATGGAACATAAAGGAGGACCCTGGATGCAATGATTAAAATGAGAAGAGAAGGTTGAGTGTCAAAAGCTTTGAATGCCTATGATTGTCCCTTTTTTTCCTTGACCAGCTTTACACAGTTTAATTGAAGGACATCATTTTGAAAGTTAAAACACCTAAGAAAAAGTGATAAAGCATGGAAAGTCAACATTGATTTCCTATCATTTACTGTGGTTTGCACCGAGTTACAGTGAACCTTTCCTTTGCCAATTTCACAGGAAAAAACTGCATGTTCGGCCGACCCGAAGTGCAGAAGGAGTTCTGCTGATCCAACATCTGGATTGGCTAAGCCAAACCCCCGGCAGGCTACTCGCTGCTGTTCGGTCTATTCTCATAGATGCCGAACAGCAGTGAGTAAATAGCCGAATGCAGACGAGCGGCATTCGGCTTGGCTGCTCTGCGCGGCCCCTCTGTGGAACCGAGCAGAATAGAAAAAATTGTTTAAAAAGTAGAAAAAAAATAGAAAACGATTGTGCGGAGCTAGCAGTGACAGCTAGCTCCACCCAACTGTTTGCTTTTGGCCAGGGCGGTTCTGCTGTCGTCAATAAAAAAAAGAAAACACCCTGGGAATGCATAGCTAGATTCCTATTGGTTATTTCCCTTTTTCAATAGCCAATAGCAAACTAGCTATTTCAACCGCCCTCTGCTGCTGTCAATCACAAGAGAGAGACCTAATGAAGAATGGCTCTGATGTCAGAAGAAAAAAAAAATGAGCAGGGAAAGGTTTACTCTGCTCTATCAAGCAGAGTGAACCTTTCTGGGAGAAAGTGTTTCTCTCCCGGGCGGCCGGGAGCCTATTTGACTCCCAGAGCGTCTGGGGGAGGAATGACAGATGGCGTTCCTGGTTACCAGGTAACCAGGAATGGCATCTGTCATTACACACTGAGAACACGGAGAGGCCACTATCAGCTGGCTCCGCCTAGCTGTCAGAAGAAGGCTGTCGACCGGCCAATGGCCAGTCGCTTGGCCAGCTTTGGCTTTCACCTCGGCTCAGTCGAGCCAAAGCATATGCCTTCAGCTCGACTGAGCCTTTTGGCCGACTTCAGGAGCTATAGTGAATAGCCCGTACAGCAGCCTTTCGGTTCTACTGAACCGAAGGGGTCCTGGGGCCGAAGCATCAGCCGAAGCTATGGCTAGATCCTTTGGCAGCTTAGTGAATAGACCCCTGTGTCATGTATGCTCAGGTTAAGAAATGTTAACAAACCTGTAAATGTTAATAACAAAATAGTAAGGTTAAGTTGGTCAAAAGCCTTTTCATTTTAATCTCCCTGGCGGTATGATTATGTCAGGAATTTTGTACCAAAAGCGGTACAATTTTTTGCATGGAAATTTGTTGTTTATATTGTAGGCCTGTAATTATTAGTAAATCTTAGGAATAACTCACCTAAATCTGTCCAAACAAGAGTCTAGTAGACATCCCAGGTATGATAAAGTTTGAAACATAAAATTAAAAAAAATTATATTTATTATTATATTATAATTTCTTATAATTGTGAAAAAGTGTCAGGCAGGGCACTGGACAAAGCTCTAGGGACAAAATTGAAGTGAAATAGTTTGATACATAAGTGTAATCATAGCAGATTACATTGTATTGTGTGTATTCTTTGTACATTACAACTTTTCACTTCTGCCGCGTACAGCAGAGGACGCCGCGGGCTCGCAGGGACAAGGTAAGTGTCACTTTTCTCTGCAACCCCGAGTCTGGCTCGGGGGTTAGCGCTCCTAGCATTGAAAATTCACCCCGAGCCAGACTCGGGATTACCACCAGGGAGGTTAATAAGGAATGAACAGATATAATACCTATTTATTTTTATTAAAATTATTGTATATTGCCAGTACATTAAATATTTAAAATTTAGTGGCAATTGTATGGCTTTAGTAAGTAACAGAAGAAAGGGTATGTGTGATTAGATGATTTTCATAAAATCATGTAGCATTAAATTATTTTCTGCAATTCCATAAAAACTATTCAGTATCATGCAATTAGAATTTGAGTTCTTTAGTAATTTACCATATTGTATCCTTTTCAAAGCATTTTATCACAAAGTAATACATCATTTTAAAGTCATTTAAATGCAACATATTTTGACATTTCCTTTGAATTACATAATCTGTCACTAAAACGAACAAACATTTTATATTAGTCACATTTGCAGAGCATTTTAATCATGGAAATAAAAGTAAAGTGAATTAAAGCAACCAAATTCACCCATATA